GTAGCTAATAAACGTAGCTGGACTGAATTGGCATTGTCTCTTGGAGTTCCTTGGGCTAGGCCTGACAGGCCTGGACAAAAATTAAGTTTAGTTTCATTTATATTTAATTAAAATTACACCTAGTTAATACAGTATTATTGTTTTCCAATCCATTTAAAGATTTCCTTTCCTGTCATATCAAAAGTAGAATTTTGTAACCATGTTGGAAAGTCTTCAGGGGCCCCATCCAAAGCCTTCAAGAGCTGCCTGTCTGTTCACATTGTAGACTTGACTGTATTGTATAGATTGGATGTTTTGATATTAGGAAAGTTAATTCAGAATTTCAGAGCTGGCAGTCCTGGTTTAAAATGACCTGGACTTCAGCTCCTGATTTTGTGTAAATAGTGGCTTGAGGTGATCCAGACCTTCCTGCGGTGGCATTAAGCTGATACTGGAATTTATTCAGTGCTTTTATCTTTAATGACATTGCAAGCTGGACATTGATGCATTTGTCATTCTCTTAACTCTGTTTAAAAAGGACATGTATCCAGCTAGCTCATGGTTCATTTGAGTCAATCATTTGGATCAGCAATTGCATATATACTTTCTGCTTTTTCCCTGGAATGTGGTAGATTGTTAATTCTCCATCATCACCTTCAATGTTCTCAGTGAATATGACAAGGGAATAGCAGCAGCATTACTCTTACAAGTTACATCTTTTGACATTTAAATGTCCGGTGAATATAGAGATGGTAAAGGAATACTTCTCGAAACATTCTAATTTAATTACCCTTCTCCAGGATGCAAACTTTTTTTTACATCTGCTGTGAAATCCAAGGGTAGCCTTAAAAAGTAACTCCAGGATGCCAACATGTCTAGATTCTGAAATTGAACTTCAGTAGAATATTAATGCAATTTAGGCAGAATGTCTTTGTTTGCTAGGTATCAAAATTCCAAATGAAGAGAATTTCATCTTCAGATTGCTATGTGAGTGATGTCTCTTCGTTCTGTTTCTGTCTCAGGGGTGTTTCCCATTTGTTTTGGTTTTTAAAAGAGTTTCATGGATGTTAAACACTAAAGAGCATTTTCATGGTTAATTTTAACTAAATTCTGATTACCATAGTCTTTCTGTTAGAATGCTGAGATGCCTGTTTTTCATTTAGTTTGTTATTTGGAAATGCAGATTATAAATATCTTCCCAAAGTATAATTTAAGCAGCATATACCATTTAAAATTAAAAAGAAACAATGCATATTATTTTAAACATAACAACATTTTTAAGATTTATTCCCCTGGACAGTTGGTGGTAATAGCGCGGGAGGGTAAGGGGAGAGAGGAAATCCAGCTGAGAAGGCTTTTGGGGTGGTTTTTTCCTGCTTTCTCCTGCAGAGATCCTTCTCCCAGGGCAGTTGCTGATAATGCCTGGGGTTGGAGTGGGACAGAAGAGGATTTATCGGCTTAATTTAATTTAATTTAAACAGATTAATTTAGAATTTACAGGATAGGACAATTTAAGATTAGAATATTGCTGATGGGGAGGGTAATTAGTCCTCTTTTCTAGCATTAAAATATGCCTATACAGGTAGTCCTCACTTAATTACAACAATTGGGACCGGAATTTAGGTCGCTAAGTGATGTCATTAAGCGAATCATCACATGACTGGACCTGATTTTACAACTTTTTGCAGTGATTATTAAGCGAATCACTATGGTTGTTAAGTGAATCACATGGTTGTGAAGTGAATTATGTGGTTGTTAAGTGAATCACATGATTTCCCCATTGATTTTGCTTGCCAGAAGCTGGCTGGGAAGGTCGCAGAGGTATCAGTGTTTACTACTGTCTTCTTGTGAATTTGGGAGTCTTGGTGAGAAAGGGAGAGATTATGGACAGATCTCAAGGCTTGATTCTGTTGTCATGTACAAGGTATATTTGATTATTTTTGCTGGTTCATTCTGTGCCGCACACCATGCACCTCTTTTTCAACTCCCTATTGCAAATTTGTGAGCTTTCATAAGTGCACTTAATTTTCTTATGAAATGCTTCTTCCTTATTGCACTTTATTTTTATTTGTGAAGCCACCCTCCCAGAAGAAGGCAGTATTTCAATTTCAGTTTATTTTTTATTGATTAGTCAAATAACCATGTCCAATCATAATGTGTCATCAGGATAGTAGAATAGGGCAAAATTAGTACAGGGCATCAGAATATATAAAAAATGTTCAATAAAATAATCAGATTAGATCATCCCCTTGTCAATTGATTCCAATGTGATCTAGGTAGGAAGCCCTCAGTTGAATGGCTTTAGCTATAAACTTGACAGCCTTTTTGACTGCCCAGTATATTTGTACCTTGAAGGAGGTGAGAGAAAGAGATTATAGACAGATCTCAAGGCTTGATTCTGTTGTCATGCACAAGGTATATTTGATTATTTTTGCTGGTTCATTCTGTGCCACACACCCTTTCATAAGTGCACTTAGTTTTCTCACAAAATGCTTCTTCCTGATTGCACTTTATTTTTATTTGTGAAGCCACCTTCCGGAAGAAAGCAGTGGCAAATCAGTTCTGTATTGTTACCAAGAAAACTACACGGATATATTCATTGTACCAGGAGATGAGCTGGACTTTACTCTTAAGGGTGTTCTAGAGAGTAAGCTACATAAATGATAGTCCAATGCGCTGAGAAGCTGATAAATCCTCTTTCCATTTACCAAAAGCAACATGGGGCACAGCTAATTTAGAGGAGAGAAGAAATCTTTAGACAGTAGCTACTTTGGGATAAATATGCACAAATTACAGTGATTTCGTTATCAACATAGAAAATGTGGCATTTTGCTACTGTAGACTATCTTAATGGTTGTTTATGAGTGTATGTGCTATCATTTGTGCTTTGTTTTCAGCGTAAAGTAAGCTACCCTAGGTTATTGTTATAAGTGTGTTTTCTGTATGGAACACTCAGTCCAGAAAATAGTGGAAAAGCATGTTTTTTCCCTACAGCTGAAGATGGAAATGTCTATCCTCCCATGCTTAGAGAATGTAAGCCTTGCAGTACTGTGTGTCTGTAAAATATGTGGTGCTTTGACAACAAATCATGTAGGACTGTGCATCCCTTAGTTGGGTGACATATGCTTATTCATTCTTTCTTTCTTTTTTTTCATTTTCCTCAGAGCCTTTTGGCAGTGTTGAAAATTGCTTCATGATATTGCCACTAAAATAATTATTTTAGCATTTGTCACAGGATTTTCCTGAGTTTCTTTGGCAATATTTGCAAATATAATATTTATATTTTAGCTTTCAGTGAAGTGAGGTGGCATTGATTCCACCCCCATTGCTGTTGTATACTCAAAACAGCCCCATGATTGAAGCTGGCCTGTGCTCACACTATGAGCTGGAGGTTGTTTATGAAGAGCAGGGAAAGTGTCTCCCCACTTGTGATCTGATTTTGCACAACAATTCTTATATTCCTAAATGTGAGGTGAGGACAAGGACACAATGAAGCTTCAGCTATTTCATGCCAGTTATGAGAAGATGCAGGTGAAATTGCTGCTCAAGATCTGGCATTGAGGGCTCTTGGGAGCAAAAATGATTAATGGTATTTCTGCTATTTTTTCCATTGTTTTGTTACTGATCATTGGGTGGAACCTATGTAAAGTATGACTTAAGGACTTTATTAGAATTCTTTTTTTTTTCTTTTCTCACAGCACTTCACAGAACTCCTTGATGATTTTTCCCAGGATGTTTTGGGGCAGCTCTTGAATGACCCCTTCCTGTCTGAGAAAAATGAGATGATGGAAGTGGAGCTATCACCAGTTTCTCCAGCTCCCCTCATCCAGGCAGAGCATAGCTACTCGCTTTGTGGGGACTCTCGGCCCCAGTCGCCACTGACACATATTTCAGCTGATGACAATTTCAATGAAGGTAAAAGAGTGTAATGAACTTTGCTACTGAACTTCTGGAAATAAGACTCAGTATGGGTTGCCTTGAGGTATAACCTGTCTAGAATCTTGAACTGGGCAATGGTGTGTTAGTATCTTAGAAATATATTCATTCATATGTTTCCAAAGGATGCTGTTGGCAGGAAAAAAAGCCTTCTAAATGTCTATGAAATTCTTGGGAAGGGCATGCCCTTTTCCTCTCATTGTTAGCTAGAGGTGTCTATCAACTGTTCTACTGGAAACAATTTTTGACTCTGAAAAAGTGGTTTCTGTTCTGCAGGCTTACAATATTATGGGCCACTGGTAGCCTCTTTGGAGATCATATGTGGGACAGTAGGTTTGAGTGATTTTGAAAAACTGAAGCTATATTTAACCTGTATAATTGTAAATAAACTCAAATATTGCAAACTGCTGTTAGCCTCTGGTGATCATATCCACAGAAAATGGGACCCTTGTTTATTTATTTGATTTAGAAAGCTGCTTGATTCCAAAGTGACTCTGGGTGGCTTACATAATTAAAAGAGAGGAGGAAGCAATAAAATATTTTAAAAAAAACATATATACACAGATAAAAAAAACACTACCCCAACACTGCCAAGGGCTCGCAAACAACCTAACTCCAGGCTTAGGAGCAAAGCCATATTTTTAAAGACTTGCAGAACTCTTGCAGAACCATACAAATCTTTGGGGGGATGCTGTTCCAGAGGGCAGACTGTTTAGTAGAGGAGACTCAGACATCCCCACTCTGCCTGATCTGACTGGATGGGTGGAAACCATTGGAGATAGCAGTCCCTCATATAACTAGGCCCTATGTCATGAAGGGCTGCATAGGTAACAATCAGCAGCTTGAATTGCACCCAGAAGCTAACTGGCAACCAATGCATCTCACAGAACAGTGATGACATATGGGCATATCAAAATATGTTCATTGTTGCCTGCATTGCTGCATTTTGAATCAGCTGTAGTTTCTGGATGGTCTTCAAGGGTGCATTCATTCATTCATTCATTCATTCATTCATTCATTCATTCAAATTTGTCACCACCCATCTCACTACAGAGCGACTGTGGGCGATTACACATTGCAATAGTCCAATCATGAGATGACTAGGATATGAGTGACCATCTGAAGAGTCTCCCAATCCAGGAATTAGTACAACTGGTGCACATGACGCACCAATGTAAAAGCCTTCCTGGCCACAGCTGCCAGCTGCTCTCTGAGCAATAGCTATGAGTCCAGAACATCCAGGTTGTGCGCTAATCTCAAATGGAAAAGTGCCACCCCATTCAAGGCCAAAGGTGAAAAATTCCCCGATCCAGTATGCCCAAACAGCCACTTGGTTTTGGCAGAACTGAGAATGGCACTGTTCCTCCCCATCCAGACCCCAACAGCTTCCAGACACTGGGCCAGGATACTGATAGTATCATCTGAGTGGTCCAGGGTAGAGATATCAACTGGGTATAATTGGCATACTGATGATACCAGATCCCAAATTGATGGTTGATCTCACCTAGAGGTTTCATGTAGATTTTAAACAGGAGGGGTAAGTTTGTTGAGCCCTAAGGTACCCACTAATGAGAGTCATGGATGTGATCTCACCCCCTTGTTACCACAAAGGAAAGAGGTGAACCATCACATTACAGTGCCTCCTTCTTCCAGACTCCGCAGTCAATCCAGAAGGATATCATGGTTGACAGTATTAAAAACTGCTGAGAGATCAAGGAGTACAAGGATGGATGCACTAGCCCCATCCCAGCTGTGCCAGAGATCATCAAGAAGCATGACCATTGCTGTCTCTGTAATTGTCAGCTCCTACAAGATAGGCAAAACTAAGAAACTAATGTCATGTAGGTCAGGACTACTTTTATTACAACAGCTATAGGAACATCCTGCAAGCCTAAATCTGTTTCCCCCTCCCTCACTTAAACTTTGTGTGAACTGATGTAACACGAAGAAGGAATAACCTTGAGGAAGAGCCACAACCAGGACAATGATCAGATAAAAGAAATCTGAGTCCAGGACAGAAATGTAATTTGAGAAAGTGTCTCAGACATGACCCTCGCTAGTTCTCACAAAGATGGAGGGAGGGAGGGGGAAGTGCATTTAGACTTGCAAGATTCTGTTATTATAACCTTATAATAAAAGTAGCACAGGTAGTTAAGAACGCCTGGGTTACAGATGGCACACAGTTAAGAATGGAGCCTATTGTAGCAAAATTTGAGTTAAATACCCAATGATTCAAGTTAAATACACAATGGTTCAAGTTAATTACACAATACTACTTATACAGTATTATCCAACAATACTGGCTGTTCTGGCTTACATACAAATTCGACTTAAGGACAGACCTTGGGAACAGAAGTAGTTCTTAAACTGGGGACTACACGTGTTAGCCTGTGTGTCTTTGGTTTCCAAGTTTGGTTTATCTTACAGGGCTGACATCTAAGGAGCAGCTTGTCTGAGACATTTTCTCAAGTTATTTTCTGGGCCTGGGCTCAAGCCCCACTTACGTGGGTGTTGTCTTGGTGGTGGCTCTTCATCCTGTCCTTCAAGGACATTCCCTATATCCTCTACACTATTGTACCCTCGCCTGAAACCTAATTGAAACAGCTGCAGATGATCTATTTCCTCCAACAGCCTGTGGAACTGTTGTCTGATTACTTTATCAAAAATCTTCCCCAAAAAGATTGTGTGTATGATTTTGCCTTGCTGCCACATGGTTTTCATCACTCATTCATATTGATCCTAGTTTCAGACGATTTAATGCAAAGAATAGCAAATATTTTTCACATTGGTGAGCTTTTAATTATATAGATTGAAACCTCTAAGGGTCCTTATTCTAGAGATGGATGGAGCCAAAGCTAGAAGTGGGAGGGGTGTAAAACTAGGCATTATTGCATGTAAATAGGCAGAGATCTCCATGCATCCTAACTCTGAAGGTTCCTTACCCTCAAAAAGTCTCCTTCAAGTCCAGCTGGACTCCTGGTGGGTTCATAGACATGTCCATGTACTTTTCTGGACAACAGTACAAAAGGGATTTGCCTTTGCTTTCTTCCAGAACTTTTTTTTTTTTTCAGTTTCACAGTATAGACATCCATAGAGGTCTCTCATCCGACTGTTAACCAGGTCTGATCCTTCTTAGCTTCCAAGCCTAAATATGGTCAGTGAAGGCCTGCTACCAGCTGAGATTTCTTTCCCTTATCCCTGTTTAATATGCACCAAACAGGGTGAGAGAAACTGTACTTGGAAGTATTTGTTTTTAAAACACATTTGCTATTTGTGTGTTGGTTCATGACCTATAAAGATATCATAAATATCTACTGTGAAATAATTGCGAGGTAACATGTTTGGGAAGGAAGGTACGCAAATTAGACTTGACTTTATTTTGGACACCCATTAAACAATGTGCCAGCATCTGTTTGAGTGCATTATGGAACAAAAATCAAAAAGTTATGTGAAAATGAAAAGTGTATAGTGTATATTAGAGAGGAAGGTAAAATGTTTCAAAAAAAGAAAGTTAAAACATTTTCCAAGCAATCTGCTGTAGTTCTTGTGGGCATCTGTGGATTTGTATAAAAGTATGAAACCAGCCATATGTACTGCTAAATATTAGTTTGATGTGCATTTATTTAATGGGAGCTTGCTTAACCCCCTCCCCATCAAATTAATGCATACATTTATAAAAGTAACTGTCAGTTATCATCCTTACTGATTTCAAGTGATAATTCATGACATGTTCTCTTTCTTGAATGAGTAAAAGTATATGAGAGTGAATTTTTATAATATAGGAATTCATAATGTAAATGTAGAGGGTCTTGGCAGAGAACCTAAATGCTGAAAGCCAATCAAATCGCATCTTTCTAGGGAAGGAAATCCACAGCTTGAGTGTTGAAGTATTCATGTTCCAGTCATTCAACTCTCCTGGCCCCATGTCATCTATATCACTTTGTTGCTCTCACAAAATGGTTTCCATAAGGAAGGGGCAGTTATATATTCACAAAATGGCTGCCATGTTGAGGATGGCCAATCACAAACCGTCCCATTTACTAGAAGACAAACTAGAGAGGTTGCTCCCTTCCAGTCCTATTACCTCACGTTACCTCTGACGTTTTTCTGGGCAGCTGGGCATACCTTGAATGAAGCACTGAGCTATCATTTTTATTTCGTAAGGAATGTTATAGAGCCTGTACGGAACCCCAAAGCATTCTTGTTACACAATACTGGTGCTTTGCTTTCCAGTGTGGCAGCTTCCCATTCATTTTTTAAAATTGAAAATTCAAAAAGAAATTACAGTTAGGTGGGCCTGGAAGTCCACCAAGCAGCAAGGAAGCTATGTCTGCAGGTATCTCTGCTTAACAAGCAGTTATCATTAATATGTTTTTTTATACTGACAATAGACAATCATATCCAAGATCTTAGGGAACCCAAGGTTTATACTTACTCATACTTCTGGTGACTCACCGATGATCTTTTTGCTGTTGTAAGCACTGATGCCTGCTTATCAGGCCTGCTGAGATAGAGTTGGATGAGGGCTGGAATGACATAATACTCCCATATTCTTTTCTTCCCCCTTCATATAGTTTCAGTTTCTCCCACATACTAGAGTTTTCCCTTTAAAAGAAAATAGTCATTGGAAGCAGAATTTAGTTCTTACAGCAACAGAGTCGAATTGGTTTTTCATAGAAAGTTACTTGACATGTATAAGCGACGTTAAACCAGTTTGAGATTTTGAGAGGGGAAAGTTGCCAAGACCACTGTCCCAGGATACTTGTTTTGCTTTTGCTTGCAAGCGCATACCACTTCCTGATGCTTTCAAAGAAAAGGTATATTAATACAATTGCAGAGTGGAGGCTCAATCCTTGAGTCATATCTACAGTGACCATACGTCCTTTATTACAAAGCATGGTTCTTTATTTCAGAAAGCTGTCCTTTAGCTTTATTTAATTATTTGTTTTCTTGGTATTACTCTTGAATTTTCCTTTGTA